ATTTATTTGGTGTGTTATTTAGAAAATCCCCTTTTTTATAGAATGTTGTTTCTGTCTGGTCGGATCCAGCACATGTTCGGTACGTTGCTGTGGAGCAACAAATGCATCTCACTAGGGTCGTCTTGGCTATGGGTCGTTGGCTTAAGTAGGCCTTCGTTTTTACAGCGATAAATTGAGGAAGAGATCATATTTTTTTCAGCGAGTTTGATATGGAGAATAAAAAAGAAGTTTGGCAAAAGCTCTTCGATACGGCTATCCAAGGTGTGGAACAACGTTTGGCCAATCCAGGTGAGTTGGGGAAAATTGAATAAAATTGAATTGAAAAGCCCCCTTCTGTCCGTTGTAGACGCCGTGATACGACAGTCGGGGATGTTTGTTGGAGAAACGTTTTCATTGTGGATGGGAGGTGAACGTCTTGAGTTTGAGTATCAAAGTGACAACTGGTTGGATGAAATGCGAAGGTAAATTAATTTCCATTACACAATTAGTAGGTTGTTTGCCGAGTTCTCCGTCATGTAGTCCTTTAAATTCGTCGAAAAAAAAATCGAGGGGCCTATGTAGCATGGTATTATATCTTCAGTATACGAGATGGAACTAACACTGAGGCTGTCGCTGCAGAGAATTTGCCCCCAGACGAGCCTGTCCTAGAAAAGGTTGACATGCAGCTTCCTACATCGTCCAGCTCTGTGGCCAATTCCCAGCCTTATGATAGCGATGACGAAGAAGATTTCAAGCCATACGACATTCCAGAAAGCGAAAGAAATGTTGAAATAGTATGTAACAAGAAACGCTTTCTCGCTTTTAAAGATATATTTCGTATTTGTTTCAGCTACCGGCTGATGCTGAACCTGAACGTAGCGCTCCTCCTCCCAATTATATAAGAGATTGCATGGAGCAGTTGGACGAGAAGGAAAAATACGAAGTGAGGAAGCTATCTTAAAACCTAAGTGTACCTCCAACAATCAATTTTCAGGTATTCGAAGCGGCATTCTTTGCTTTGAATGATATGATACGAAGAAAAGCCGTTGGCTTTGTTGATATAGCTGATCGGTTGGCTAAAAATCTGGTTTTCCTAGAAGATAAGTTTTCCACAAAAAAGTTTGAGGTGAGATTTATATCGTGCAACCTTATAATATTCTGAAGAGAAATTTGACGCAACTGTAATCACGTGCTGAAGTGGATTAGCGTTTGTCAGAGCTTAAAGTATAAAGCTTGGAGTATAAATGACCTGGGCGTTATGGCTTAGCTATATCTTCTTTTTCTTAAAAAAATTGATCTAATGGAGTCTCAATACATGCATATTTCCATCTACCTTTGAACAACTAGGAGTATTAGTAAATTGAAAACAAA